GTCGATCTATAGTTCGACCCCGCACTATAGATCGACCTTGGAGTCTCAAGGCCGGACACATGGACACCCGAGCACCGGGACACCTGGACACACACCCGGGCACCCGGACACCCAGGCACCCGGGCACCCGGACACCCGGACACCCGGACACCCGGACACCCGGCACCCGGACACCCGGACACCCGGACACCCGGACACCCGGGCACCCGGGCACCCGGGCACCCGGACACCCGGACACCCGGACACCCGGACACCCGGACACCCGGACACCCGGGTGCCCAGGTACCCCGGCACCCAGGCACCCGGGCACCTGGTCGCCCGGGCACCCGGACACCCGGGCACCCGGACACCCGGACACACCTGGACGCCCGGACGCCCGGACACCCGGACACCCGGACACCCCGGGCGCCTGAGGGGGGGGCACCCGGACAACCTCGGACGCCCGAGACACCCGGACAACCGCACACCCGGACAACCCGACGCCCAGACACCCGGGCACCCGGGCAACCCGGGCAACCCGGACACGCTGGGTGGGGGGGGGGGGGGGGGAGGAGGGGGGTGGGGGGGGGGGAAAGGCGGGTGGTGACACCCGGACACCCGCCAAACCCAGGACGCCCGGACTCCCGGACACCCTGACAAGACCCTGAAACACCCGACCCCTGGACAACCCGGGCACCCGGGCACCCGACACCCGGCACGCGAAAACCGGACGCCCGGACATCCGGACGCCCGGACGCCTGGACACCCGGACACCCGGACGCCCGGACACCCGGGCATCCGGACACCCGGACACCCGGACACCCGGACACCCGGACACCCGGACACCCGGACACCCGGACACCCGGACACCCGGACACCCGGGCACCCGGACACCCGGACACCCGGACACCCGGGCACCCGGACACCCGGACACCCGGACGCCCGGACACCCGGACACCCGGCCACCCGGACGCCCGGACACCCGGACACCCGGACGCCCGGACACCCGGACGCCCGGACGCCCGGACGCCCGGGCACGCGCCCGGGCACGGTAAAATAGTCATATACCCACCTCCTCCTCGCGGCGCCCTCTGGGGGGCTGCGATCTGCGCAACTGTCGGCACTTTCGTGGGCTCCTGGGAGGCCCAGCGGAGTTGGGATACACGCGGATCACCTCGGGACCTCGCGGCGCCCTCTGGGTGTGCGATCTGCGCAACTGTCGCCACTTTCGTGGGCTCCTGGGAGGCCCAGCGGAGTTGGGATACACGCGGATCACCTCGGGACCTCGCGGCGCCTGGGGGGGTGCGATCTGCGCAACTGTCGGCACTTTCGCGGGCTCCTGGGAGGCCCAGCGGAGTTTGTGGGTGACACGCGGATCACCTCGGGACGCTCGCGCGCCCTTTGTGGAGTTCTGCGATCTGCGCATTGTCGCCACTTTCGTGGGCTCCTGGGAATGCCCAACTCAACGGTGTCCAACGCGCATCCAGATGGACCTCGCGGCGCCTGGGGGGTGCGATCTGCGCAAACTGTCGGCACGTGTTCGTGGGCTCCTGGGAGGCCACAGCGTAGTTGGGTACACGCAATCACCTCGAGACCTCGCGGCGCCCTCTGGGTGTGCGATCTGCGCAATTGTCGCCACTTTCGTGGCTCCTGGGGGCCCAGCGGAGTTGGGATACACGCGGGTCACCTCGGGACCTCGCGGCGCTCTCTGGGGGGCTGCGATCTGCGCAACTGTCGCCACTTTCGTGGGCTCCTGGGATGCCCAGCGGAGTTGGGATACACGCGGATCACCTCGGGACCTCGCGGCGCCTGGGGGGTTGCGATCTGCGCAATTGTCGCCACTTTCGTGGGCTCCTGGGAGGCCCAGCTGAGTTGGGGTACGCGCAGACCACCTCGGGACCTCGCGGCGCCCTCTGGGGGGTTGCGATCTGCGCAATTGTCGCCACTTTCGTGGGCTTCTGGGAGGCCCAGCGGGGTTGGGATACACGCAGATCACCTCGGGACCTCGCGGCGCCTGGGGGGTTGCGATCTGCGCAATTGTCGCCTTTGTCGTGGGCTCCTGGGAGGCCCAGCGGAGTTGGGATACACGCAGATCACCTCGGTACCTCGCGGCGCCTGGGGGGTTGCGATCTGCGCAACTGTCGGCACTTTCGTGGGCTCCTGGGAGGCCCAGCGGAGTTGGGGCACACGCAGATCACCTCGGTACCTCGCGGCGCCTGGGGGGTTGCGATCTGCGCAAACTGTCGGCACTTTCGTGGCTCCTGGGAGGCCCAGCGGACGTGGGGGGGGCACACTCAGATTCACCCTCGGGAACTCGCTGCGGCCTGGGGGGTGCGATCTGCGCAATTTGCGCCACTTTCGTTGGGCTCCTGGAGCCCAGCGGAGGTTTGGGATACACGCAGATTCACCTCGGACCTGCTCGCGCGCCTCTGGTGTGCTATCTGCGCGAACTGTCCCGCCACTTTTTCGTGGGCTCCTGGGAGGCCCAGGCCCAGCGGAGTTGGGGTACACGCAGATCACCTCGGGACCTCGCGACGCCTGAGGGGTTGCGATATGCGCAACTGTCGCCACTTTCGTGGGCTCCTGGGAGGCCCAGCGGAGTTGGGGTACACGCAGATCACCTCGGGATCTCGCGGCGCTCTGCGGGTGGAGCTGCCAACTGCGCAACTGTCGGCACTTTCGTGGCTCCTGGGGGCCCAGCGGAGTTTGGGTACACGCAGATCACCTCGGGACCTCGCGGCGCCCTGCGGGGGGAGCTGCCAACTGCGCAACTGTCGGCACTTTCGTGGGCTCCTGGGAGGCCCAGCGGAGTTGGGGTTACACGCGGATCGCGTCGGGACCTCGCGGCGCCCTGCGGCGAACTGCGCAATTGTCGGCACTTTCGTGGGCTCCTGGGAGGCCCAGCGGAATGGGGTTACACGCGGATCGCGTGGGACCTCGCGGCTCCCTGCGGGGGGAGCTGCCAACTGCGCAACTGTCGGCACTTTCGTGGGTCCTGGGAGGCCCAGCGGAGTGGGGTACACGCGGATCGCGTCGGGACCTCGCGGCTCCCTGCGGGGGGAGCTGCCAACTGCGCAACTGTTGGCACTTGCGTGGCTCTTGGGAGGCCCAGCGGAGTGGGGTACACGCGGATCGCGTCGGGACCTCGCGGCTCCCTGCGGGGGGAGCTGCGAACTGCGCAATTGTCGGCACTTTCGTGGACTCCTGGGAGGCCCAGCGGAGTGGGGTTACACGCGGATCGCGTCGGGACCTCGCGGCTCCTGCGGGGGGAGCTGCCAACTGCGCAATTGTCGGCACTTTCGTGGGCTCCTGGGAGGCCCAGCGGAGTGGGGTTGCACGCGGATCGCGTCGGGACCTCGCGGCTCCCTGCGGGTGGAGCTGCCAACTGCGCAACTGTCGGCACTTTCGTGGGCTCCCGGGAGGCCCAGCGGAGTGGGGTTACACGCGGATCGCGTCGGGACCTCGCGGCTCCCTGCGGGGGGAGCTGCGAACTGCGCAATTGTCGGCACTTTCGTGGGCTCCTGAGACGCCGAAAGATCGCTCCAGGACGTTAAAGGTGGGCCCCAGACGGCCCAAGAGGCTTCCAAGACGCTCCAAGAGGCCTCCAAAAGGCTTCATGGGAGGGCCCCGAGACGCCAACACCTTGAATTTTACTGTGGTTTTTGAAGGATTTTGGCCTTCTCGTCTTTTCGGCTTTCCAGAGCTACAGGACGGCTCAAGAGGCACCCAATATTGCCCCAAGACGGCCCAAGAGGCTTCTCAGAGGGCCCGAAGACTGCCCACGAGGCCCCAAGACGGCCCAAGACAGCCACTCTAGCGAAGAGTACCGACTATCGGGATTTGCCAGGGATTCCCGAAAGTTGAAGCCGATGGGATTTGTCGGCAATCGCCGCGCTTGACCCTCAAGCGCGGCGATTGCCAAGAATGCAATGGTCGTCGCTTTCGTGGGCCTCTTGGACGTCCAGCGGATGTTCAGCTATTTTGAAAGCGCCAGTTGATAATGCCACCTGTTGCCAGAGGGTTGGGTACGTCCCTGGAGTCTAGAAAGCGTGGAGGGAGGGGGGAGGGCTTCTCAGAAGCACCCCTGCTTCGTAGAAGGCGCGGGCCGTATCTGTAGATGTAAGGTCGGCGCCTTCTAAGAAGCAGCCTCCTTGCAAGAAGCCCTCCGCCCTCCCTCCGCTCCTCCCCCTCGTGCGCGCCGCCAGGAGAAGAAGACGACAGAGCGCGGAGCACGCAAGCGGAGCTTGTCGCCACGCACGCACACAACGCCAGCGGGCGCACCGCAGACAGGCGAGGCGCAGGCGGCCCTTTCCCCCCTCGATCGCACCAGCGCACCGGAGCAGAGGGCCGACTCGCTTTAAGGCGGGCCTGTCCCTCTACAGGAGGAATATTCGAAAATAGTCAAAAATAGTCCGGGAACAAGTTTTGAACATTTTGGTTGTTTACAACACTATTGGAGCATTTGTATGGTATGTTTTCCTTTTCTCTCAAAATCCGCCTGTAGGGGGACATGCCCGACCTAACACTAGCGCACCAGAGCAGAGGGCCGACTTGCTCCGCTGTCCTAATGCGGACGGAGCCAGGACGAGGATAACATCGGGTGAGGGTAAATCCCCAGACATGATCGCGTCGAAATAAAATCGACGGCGGGTTTTCTGCTGTTTTCGGCCTCGGGGAGCCCTCGCTGGGTTTCGGGACCGTCAAAAAGCAATTCAGATGAATAATGGGTCCCAGGTAAAGGGTCGGGACTTCCAGGGACCCCGTATTGGAAAAATCAGGACGTCGCATGTTTGGGTCGAGAATCTCTGAGATCCGGCGGCTCTGGAGGATGTATCGAGCACACTCTGGGAGCGTTCCCCCACGCTCTGGAACTGATTTACCCTCGTCCTGACCACGTCCTGCATCCCTCCTCCTCCTCATCCTCCTCATCTTCCTCCTTCTCATTTTGCCTCCCGCTTCCTCCGTTGATCCTCCACCCCTCCTGCCGCGGGCCTGGGCAGACTCGTCAGTGGACCCCGCAGGACACTCCCACAGCAGCTGCTCGCGATGGCCGCCGAGGTCGCCGAGCGTTTCGCCAACATGACCGCGGAGTGGCTGCGCGTGGGCTACGTGCAGAGCAACTTCAACGCCGACAACTGCCTGGCGAGCGGCCGGACCATCGATCCTCCTCCCCTCCCTCCTCGACCCCTCCTGCCACCTCATCCTCCTCGTTTGGCCCTCCTCCCGGCTGCCTTCCGTGTCCCTTCTGGCCCCCTCCCCCCTTTCGGGGGCGGGCAAGACTGCCCGCGCCGCCCCCGGGCATGGCCCCCGCACTCCAGCTCAGCCCCAGCTCTGGCCCTGAGGAGCTCGGCGCGCAGGAGCCGGGGGGGAGCACCCTGGGCCCCAGGTGCTGGACGAACCACCCGCGGATCCGCCGCTCCCGTCCTCCCAGCTCGCCCCTCTTCAGCCTCGGCCCCCAGGACTGCCCTGCCTCCTCGGCCCCCCTTTCTCGGGCCGGACGAAAGGGGGGGATTGGGAAAGGGGGGGGTACGAAATCCGCTGCATGCAGCTGGGTTCGGCCCCACCGAGGGGCCCATTCCTCGGTACAGAGCCGCCTCCTGGCGCCGGGAAAATCAGCTACGTGAGCTGCTTCTCGAATCCCCCCTTTGTTATCCCCCCCTTTCGCCTGGCCCGATCCGACTCCTCGGATTCGGGCCGGCCGTTGCCGCGCCTGCTGCGGCTGCGAGCCCGTGGCTCCGCACTTCCCCCCTGCGGCGCGAAGCCCAGCGCGGCTCGCGCGCCGCGGCCAGGGCCGGGCGGCTGCCCGTGGCCAGGGCGCAGCGCGCGGCGCGACGCTCGAGCGCAGGTGCCCAGATCCTGCGAGTCCAGCCGTCGGGCGGCGAGGTCTGCGCGCGTCCACTGCCCTCGGAGGTTGATGGACCTCCCACCCCGACGCGTCGATTAGCGAATGGGCCGTTCTCGGTTCGCGAGAGGGCGTCGCGGCCGCCCTTGTTGCGGGTCCAGGTGCGTCGGCTCCGGTCCGAGGCCGTCTTCACTGAAGGGAGGCTAGCCGAAGGGAGGTTTGTCCACCGCCGATGCGCCTGGCCGGGCCCCCCCCCGGGGTCCAGGAGCAGCGCGTGCGCTCCTCCCTGGCCGCCCCAAGGGGGGGGGGGGCACTCGCCGCTCCCGGGCACGGGCGGGGCCTGGCCAGCGGCAGCGGGTCTGCACAGTTCTCGTCGCCCCACAGTTCCGTCGGGCCTGCCCAGCTACAGGGGGAATCTTCAGAAACAGTCGAAAAATATTCAGGGGACTATGTTTTTTCCAATGTTTGAGCAGTTTGGGAGTATTTGGGGCTACTTTTCATTTTTCGTCCAAAATCCGCCTGTAGGAGGACACGCCCGACCTGACCCTACAGACGCTCACCCCATGCTGCCGACCCCCAGCAGAGCAGGCGTGCGGCTTTCGATTTCGTCTGTGCGGTTTGCCGGTTCGCGTCGTGCTGCCTGCGTGCGGTGCTGTTGCCGATCCTTCCTCCTCTTACTCCGCGCCTGTCGTGGGGCTTCTCGGGGGCCTCTTGGAGGCCTCTTGCTTCTTCGGAGCCTTCTCCGGGCTCCTGGGGAGCTTTTTGGGGGGACCCTCTGGGAGCCTCTTGGGGGCACGTCGGGGGTCTTCGGGGGCCTCTTTCTATATGCCCTCCTCTCGCTCCCTCCCCCTGGTCCCTGATCCTCCTCTTCCCAGGTCGCTTCGTCGCTCCCTCCGCCTGTCTTGCCCTAGACCTGGGCCGATCCGCTCTTCGTGCTCAGTCCTCCTCCTCCTCCTCCTCCTCCTCCTGCTGCTCGTCCTCCTCCTCCTCCCTCGTCCTCCTCCTCTCCTCCTCCTCTCCTCCTCCTCCTCGTCCTCCTCCTCCTCCTCCTCCTCCTCCTCCTCCTCCTCCTCCTCCTCCTCCTCCTTTTCATCCTCTTCGTCATCTTCGTCGTCATCGTCATCATCCTCGTCATGATGGTTATCTCTCTACCCACTCCCGTTTTTCCGACTGCTGCTGCTACGTTTTCCCTCTCAAACCCTCGCTCAGTATTTCACGTCCCCTTCTCACTCTCCCCTGGAGGAGGAGGAGGAGGAGGAGGAGGAGGAGGAGGAGGATGAGGAGGAGGAGGAGGAGGGGGAGGAGAATGAGGAGAAGGAGGAGGAGGAGGAGGCCTCTCATCCTTTTCTCCTCTCTTCACTCTCTCTCCTCTGCTCGTTTTCCCTCCTCCACGCTCTCATTGCTCTCCCCTCTGCTCGTTGTCCTCCTGCCCCCGCCTCCTCTCACGCTCCTGCCCCGTGAGCGACAGGACCACGGACTGCGGAGGTGGGGGCGGGGGACGAGGGGGGGGAGGCGGAGGAGGAGGAGTGGAGGAGGAGGAGGATGGAGGAGGAGGAGGAGGTGGAGAAGGAGGAGGAGGAGGTGGAGGAGGAGGAGGAGGAGTGAGGAGGAGGAAGAGGAGGACAGACGGGGGAACGGGAAGGAGCGGAGGAGGAGGAGAGAGCATCATCAGGAGGATCAATGGCGAGGAGGAGGAGGGGAGGAGAATGAGGAGGAGGAGGAGGAGGAGGAGGAGGAGGAGGAGGAGGAGGAGGAGGAGGAGGGAGGAGGGAGGAGGAGGAGGAGGAGGGAGGGCGGGAGGAAGGGAGAGAGGGAGAGAGGGTCGGAGGAGGAAAGAGGAGGGGGGAGGAGGAGGGAGGGAGGCATGGACGGAGGAGGAAAGAGGAGGAAGAGGAGGAGGAGGAGGAGGAGGAGGAGGAGGAGGAGGCGGAGGAGCAGGAGAAAGAGGAGGAGGTTAGAGGTGGTTGGGGAGGAGGAGGACCAGTGTAAACCCAAGGCTCATCAATGAAATTGGAGTCAACCCTCCCACCACGCTCTCTCTTTATAGGCCCCTTCACCGGTTCACGTCCACTTCAGGGAAGAACCCGTTGGGAGACAACCGTCGGAAGATTCTAAAGCGCGCCAAAACACAATTCTCTGCATTCCAACGCCGCGAATCAACTTGGCTGTTGCGTCTTGACAATCCCGAATCGTGCCAGAGCACCATTCCTCGGACATCACTTCGAATTTGCGCCCTGGCAATAATGAATCGCTCCAGAGCGCCCTTTCTGGTGCGTGAACTATGGGACTCCGCGAAACTCTTCTTGAGACGACTGTGCGCAGCGCTCAGGCGAGAGCCGCATCAGATGTATCTATGTGTGTATATATATATATATGTTTATACCAACAAGACAAAAAACGGCCCGCCCTCAATCCGTGAAGCTCTTGCCAGCTTTTCAGACGAACGTGCGCAGCGCTCTGGCGATGACCACATATAAGAAATGGCCCGCCGTCAAGCCGTGAAGCTCTTGCAAGTGTTTAAGACGAGTGTGCGCGGCGCTCATGTGATAACCACATTTTGAAAACGGTCCGCCCTCAAACCGTGAAGCTCTTGCAATGTTTTAAGACGAGTGCGCGCGGCGCTAAAGCGATAGCCACATTTTGACAACGGCCCGCCCTAAACCAGTGAAGCTCTTGCAACTTGTTGATGCAAACGCGCGCGGCGTTAAGGCGAGAGTCACATGTTGGAAACGGCCCGCCCTCCGTCTGTGAAACTCTTGCCAACTTTCTAGCTTCAGGATTAGACCAGATGAGGACGTCTCAGGCGAAACGCTCGGCCCGCCTTTCCGACTGGCCTCGGGGTGCGACAGGGAGGAGTCATTTATAAGGAAGAGGAATGGAGGCGCTTGGCATCTTCCTCCCCCTGCCTGGTGAGCGGCCGGACAATGGACTACGGCCCCTTTGGCTTCATCGAGGACTACGATCCTGGCTGGCTGGGCCAAGAAGTCCGTGCAGCGCAGAACCCTTTCCGCCTCACGCCTCGCCCTCTCTGGCCAAGGGGGAAAGGGGAGGAGCAGGAGGAGGGAGAAGGCGAAGGTGGGAGGAGGGAGCGGAGGGATGATATGACGCCACCACTGCTTCGCCCGCTCAGCGGCCTGCCCAAGAACGAAAGGAAGGATGATAATAACGATGAGGAGTGGCAGGACGAGGAAGAGGAGGAGGGGGAGGAGGAGGAGGAGGAGGAGGAGGAGGAGAGGGGGGGGGGGGGCGGGGGGGCCACGGACCTGGATGTGAGGAGCAGGCGGACAGAGCAGACGGGCGCGGAGGATAATGCACGACGGAAGTGGAGTGGCTGGGGCAATAGGCTTCGCAGCACGCCTCCCGCCTCCCTCGTCCTTCTCCCAGACCTCCTCGATCCTGGGCCTCCTCTTCCTCGACGTTACCCCTGTCCTTTCTTCCCAGCGGCACCGAAGCACGAACACCGCGGAGACTTACTGAATCAAGGAAAGAATGAGGACACAACAGACGGGTGCTGCAAGAGCTGGCTCGGTGCCGCGCGCACCGAGGTGATAGGTACCGGTATCCTCCGCATACTTCTCATTTGCCTCCTCCTCCTCCTCCTCCTCCTCCTCCTCCTCCTCCTCCTCCTCCTCCTCCTCCGTCTGACTCTGTCACGTGGTCCTCCTCCTCCTCCTCCTCCTCCTCCTCCTCCTCCTCCTCCTCCTCCTCCTCCTCCCCCTCCCCTTTGTCATATTAGCCTCCTCCTCCTCCCCCTTCTGCTTTGTCTCGTCCTTCTCCTACTGCTCCGCATCTCTCTAGACGTCGTCATTATTATTCAGACGTCTTCATTATTGCTCCCGCCGTCGTTCCCGGGAGGTCAGGGCCAGTTCCCCAGAGGGCCGGCTTTTCCTCCCGAGGCGTGTTTTCGAACGGCCCCGGGGCCCCAGTGAGGGCCCCGAGGCTTCGGTGAGGTCTCCCAGAGAGAGAGAGAGAGAGAGAAAGAAAAAAAGAGAGAGAGAGAGTGGCCAAGCACCTCCCGTCGTCCTGCTCGTCTCGGCGAGAGGACGAGGGGGGGTCCGGTCTTCGGGCCACAGAGCTGTGGTCTGGCGGCCGCTCGGGACGATTCGGGCCCGCGTCCTCAGCCAGCAGACCCTCGACGGGGCGCAGCCGCTGGACGAGATCCCGCGGCGAGCAAGCCTCCAAGTGCCATTGAAGGACGATCTGGGCCCCCCACGCAGCAACAAAAACGCCCTCAGCGAGGCGCAGCTGCTGGATGACATCCCGCGGCGAGGAAGCCTCCAAGAGCCACCGAAGAACGATTTGCCCTCCCCCCTCCCAGCAAGAAGAGCCCTCGACGAGGCGCAGCTGCGGGATGACATCCCGCGGCGAGGAAGCCTCCAAGATCCATCGAAGGCCTCGATCCTCTTCCGCGGCCCCTCGCCCTGGGGGGGAGGGGAGTGGGCCTGCGCTGTTGCGCTCTCCTCGCGCTCTCTGGGTGAGGGAGAGAGGAAGCCGAGGCGGTCCCAAAGCGGAGGTCGCAGGGGGCGGAGGTGGTGGTGGTGATGGTGCCCTCGTCTTCCTCGTCGTCCTCCTCCTCCTCCTCCTCCTCCTCCTCCTCCTCCTCCTCTTATTCCTCTTATTCCTCCTCCTCCTCCTCCTCCTCCTCCTCCTCGCGATCGTCGTCGTCGTCCTCCTCGTCCTACCCCTCCTCCACCTCCTCCTCCACCTCCTCGCCTCTCCTCCTCCCCCCCTCCCGCCCCACCCCCACCCGCGCTCCCTCCTCTGGCCCCCCTTCTCCTCCCTCTCGTCGCCTTCCTCGCTCGCTGTCCTCCTCCCTCCCCGCCCGGCGGCCCAGCGGCCCAGGCTGGGCCATGTGGGTGGGATCCGGGAGCCACTACGCCTTCATGAATCAGCCCCGCGCCGGCGGCCAGAACTTCCAGATGTTCGCGAGGAGCCTGGTGCCCCTGCTCGACGAGGCGGGGTCTGAGGAAACGACGCGCCGAGCGTGAGGAGGTCCTCCCCCCGTCATTCTCCTCCTTCTCCCCCTCCTCCTCCTCCTCCTCCTCCTCCTCCTCCTCCTCCTCCTCCTCCTCCTCGGGTACTGGTTAGCGGCGGCGGTGGCGTCTCTACCCAGGGAGTCCAGCCCTTCGAGGGCCATGTGGCTGCACGGGTGAGAACACCCCCCCCCCCGTGGGGCTAGCACCTTGGAACCTCCCCCGTCCGTAGCATATTCACAGTGAGCAATGCCGCGCGCGAAGGGTTCTCACTGGAGGCTCCAGGCTCGCACTGGTCAAAACTCTACCTGGCTACCTCCGCCCCTCGAAGGCGCTGATGCTCTGAGCTTCTGGGATTTTCCAGCTGGTGGGCAAATGTGATTCATCTGGCTGTTCAGGATGCTCCATGACACATTTTACGCTCACAGTTGAGCAAGCGTGGTCACTCCTCCTCCTCCTCCTCATCCTCCTTCGCCTCCTCCTCCTCCTCCTCCTCCTCCTCCTCCCCCACCCCACCCACACTTCCCTCCTCCGGTCCCCTCTCCCTCCCTCTGGTCCTCGTCGTCGTGGTCGTCTTCGTCCTCTTCCTCCTCCTCCTCCTCCTCCTCCTCCTCTTCCTCCTCCTCCTCCTCGTCCTCTATCCCGTTCTTGATACACAAGTCCTCCCTGTCGCACCCCCAGACATGTCAGTAGGGGGCCGGGCGTCTCGCCTGAGACCTCCTCACTTATGATTCTGAAGCTTGATTTGCATGAATTTCACGGATGGGAGGCGACCGTTTTCAAACTGTAGCTCTCGCCGTAACGCCGCGCATATTCGATCTCAAAAGTTGCAACAGCTTCGGAGATGGCGGGTGGGTGGTTTCCAACATGTGGCTCTCGCCGTTGCACCGCGCACATGTATCTTACAACTTTGCAGCAGCTTCAAGGATGGAGGGCCGTTCCTTTTCAACGTGCGGTTGGTGCCGCACACATTATCTCGCCCTAGCGCCGCGTTTTTTGGACAGGACGCATGTTTCCTTAAAGGACTCGTAAGACTAAAGTACCAGCACTAGTGTTCTGGCACGATGTCATATTGCCATGGCGCAATAATCGCGGCGCTGTAGTCCCAGGACTTATGCTTTGGCACGATTACGGGTTCTCGCGCAGTTGTCTTCCAAATGCGCACTACTGGCAATGACAATCGTTTTTTGTTGTAGGTATCTTTGAAGAGGGAATTTTGAGGGAGGGTGTTTTGCAACATCGATGGTGCGTCTCGGACTTACCCAGCTCCTCCTCCTCCTCCTTCTCCTCCTCAGCTCTGGCCTCGGCTTCAGCTTCGGGTGCGCTTCGAGGCGCCTCTCGTGCCAGCTCAGCTCACCCGAGTCAGGTTCCCCATCGCACGGGCGCCTCCCTCCCTCCCTATTCTCCCTACCCCTCCCCTTTTCCCCTCCCCCTCCCTCCTGGGCTCACGACGTGCGCTGTCGTTCACCTTGCTTAGAGTTAAGAAAACGCTGGGAACATTGACGTCTCTCCAAACGTTTCCTTAAGCCGTAGTCAAGGTCCGGATGCACGAACGTGCTACGAAGGAAGACAAGCTCCAAGAAATGCCTAAGTGCCCAATCCAGGGTCTTGTTTCTCCGCTACAGAATATGAATCCCATTAACGGTGATGTCTGAGGAGTGTAACGTTCTTACCGCCCATCACCCGAGTTCGTTTCCCCCTCGCACAGGCCCTCCTCTCCCCTCCCCCTATCCCTCCCTCCCCCATTCCTCCTCTCCCTCCCCACTCCCTGCCCCTCCTCCTCACTGCTGGGGTCACGACGTGCGTTGTCACTCCCCTTAACGTCCTTAACGCCCTCCAGAGGAGGGAGAGGAGGAGGAGGAGGAGGAGGAGGAGGAGGAGGAGGAGGAGGAGGACCAGGAGGACCAGGAGGAGGAGGACCAGGAGGAGAGGAGAGGAGGAGCAGGAGGAGAGGAGGAGGAGAGGAGGAGGAGGAGGAGAAGGAGAGGAGAAGGGGAGAGGAGGAAAAGAGGAAAAGGGGAGGAGGAGAAGGTGAGGAGGGGAAGGAGGAGGACCAGGAGGAAAGGAGGAGAGACCAGGAGGAGGAGGAGGAGGAGGGAGGAGGGGGGGGGAGGAGGGGAGGAGGGAGGAGGAGAGGAGGGGAGCAGGAGGAGGAGGAAGGAGGAAAGAGGAGGAAAGGAGGAGGAGGAGGAGGAGGAGAGGAGGGGGAGGTGGGAAGAAGGAGGAAGAGGAGGAGGAGGAGGAGGAGGAGAGAGGAGGAGGAGAGGAGTGGAGGAGGAGGAAGGAGGAGAAGCGAGGAGGGGGAGGGGAGGAAGAGGAGGAGGAGGAGGGGGAGGAGGAGAAGAGAGGAGGAGGAAGGGGAGAGGAGAGGAGGAGGAGGGGAGGAGGAGGAGTAGGAGGAGGGGGAGGGAGGAGGAGAAGGAGGAGGAGGGAGGAGGAGGAGGAGGAGGAGGGTCACCTCGCCGCCTGGCTCCCTCTGGCCCCCTGCCAGGGGTCCACGCTCGAGATTGGGCGCATCATCAAGGCTGGCGGCCCGACGGGGTTGCGGGGGGCCTCGGGAGGCCAAGCGAGGCTACCGGCTGTGGATGCTGGCCCGGACCCTCCCCTTCTTGGTTCCTCCTTCTTCCTCCCTCCTCCCTTCCTCCTCCTCCCCCCTCCTCCTCTCCTCCTCCTCTCTCTCCTCCCTCTCTCCCTCCTCCCTGCCTCCTCCTCCTCCTCCTCCTACCCCTTCTCCTCCTCCTCCTCCTCCTCTTCCTCCTCCTCCTCCTCATCGTCCTCCTCCTCCCGAAGCAGACCCAATGCAGGCCTGGGCGGTTTGGCCTTTTTTCACGAGCGCGCAATGGTGGCTTCGTGGCTTTTCCAAAAAGGATTCCGATTGTGAGGCTTTCCCATAGAATCCCTTTGTGGTGCTTTCCAGAGGATTCCTGCTGTGAGGCTTTCCAATAGAATCCCTTTGTGGTGCTTTCCAGAGGATTCCTGCTTTGATGCTTTCCAATCGAATCCCTTTGTGGCGCTTTCCAAAGGATTCCTGTTGTGAGGCTTCCCAATAGAATCCCGTCGTGGTGTTTTCCGCTTTCCAAAGGATTCCGATTGTGAGGCTTTCCAATACACTTCTCTCGCTGTGCTTTCCACATCACTCCGGCTGTGAGGCTTTCCAATCGAATCCCTTTGCGGCGCTTTCCAGAGGATTCCGATTGTGAGGCTTTCCAATCGAATCCCTTTGTGACGTTTTCCAAAGGATTCCGATTCTTAGGCTTTCCAATCGAATCCTTTCGTGGCGCTTTCCGAAGAATTCCTGTTGTGAGGCTTTCCAGTAAAATCCCTTTGTGGCGCCTTCCAAGGGATTTTTGTTGTGATGCCTTCCACTGCAATCCCTTTGTGGGGCTTTCCAGGGGATTCCTGCTGTGATGCTTTCCAATCGAATCCCGTTGTGGCGCTTTCCAAAGGATTCCTGTTGTGAGGCTTTCCAATACCATCCCTTCGTGGTGCTTTCCAGAAAATTCCGATTGTGAGGCTTTCCAATGGATTCATTTCGTGGCGCTTTCCAAAGGATTCCGATTGTGATGTTTTCCCATCGAATCTTTGTGTGGCACTTTCCAAAGGATTCCTGTTGTGAGGCTTTCCTATACAATCCCTTGATGGTGCTTTCCACCGGATTCCTGTTGTGAGGCTTTCCAATAGAATCCCTTTGTGGGGCTTTCCACAGGATTCCAGTTGTGAGGTTTTCCTATAGAATCCTTTTGTGGTGTTTTCCAGAGGATTCCTGCTGTGAGGCTTTCCAATCAAATCCCTTTGTAGTGCTTTCCAGAGGATTCCTTCTGTGAGGCTTTCCCATCGAATCCCTTTGTTGTGATTTCCAAAAGGATTCCGGTTGTGAGGCTTCCCAGTGGAATGCTTTTGTGGCGCTTTCCAAAGGATTCCGATTGTAATGTTTTCCCGTAAAATCCCTGTGGCGCTTTCCAAGGGATTTCTGTTGTAATGCTTTCCGCGGTTCCTTTGTGGCGCTTTCCAAAGGATTCCTGTTGTGAGGCTTTCCAATCGAATCTCTTCGTTGTGATTTCCAAAGGATTCCGATTGTGAGGCTTCCCAATGGAATCCCTTTGGGGCGTTTTCCAAAGGATTCCGATTGTGATGCTTTTCAATCGAATCTTTCTGTGGCGTTGTTTAGAGGATTCCGATGATAATGCTTTCCTATGTAATCCCTTCGTGGCGTTTTCCAACGGATTCCTGCTGTGAGGCTTTCCAATAGAATCCATGTGTGGCGCTTTCCAAGGGATTCCTGTTGTGAGGCGTTCCACTACAATCTCTTTGTGGGGCTTTTCAGTGGATTCCTGCTGTGAGGCTTTCCACTATAATCCAGTTGTTGTGCTTTCCAAAAGATTCCGATTGTGAGGCTTTCCAGTACAATCCCCTCTCTGTGCTTTCCCAAGGATTCTTGCTGTGAGGCTTGAGGCTTTCCAATAGAATCCCTTTGTGGCGTTTTCCAAAGGATTCCTGTTGTGAGGCTTTCCAGTAGAATCCCTTTGTTGTGCTTTTTAAAGGATCCCGATTGTGAGGCTTACCAATGGATTTCATTTATTTCGCTTTCCAAAGGATTCCGATTGTGAGGCGCTCCAAAAAAACAGCAGAAACCAACACTAACAAACTTTCAGATATAATTCCGTGGTCGACCGCCAGATTATATTCGAAAGTTTGTTTTTTAGTTTTTTTGTTTTTTGTTTTTTGTGGTTCTTGGGTTCTCTGATCCGTTTTCGGTTTCGTTCGGCCTCCACAGAAGGATGACGATCGAAAGCGCGCAAGCCGCCCAGGCCCTCCATCCGTGCCTCCCTGTCTCCCTTCTTCCCTCCTCCCTCCTCCTCCTCCTCCTTCTCCTCTTCCTCCTCCTCCTCCTCCTACTCGTCCTCCTCCTCCTCC